TACCTCAGTAGGATGAATGGCCTTTTGAATGCATGAGTTTTAAAGGCCACGCTCTTCTCAGGTAAGTTTCTGCTTTCAAGTAAAGGTTGCATTTATGTAAGTGATGAAACTTCTATTGGTAAAGCCTTAGGCTAACTGTCCTTTACAGGCATTGTGTAGGGAAAATGCAGCCTGTGTTTCAAAGAGCAGACTGAGAACTTAGGAGTCACAACCTGTTTAGTGCAGGTTGATGACATGTTAAGTGTCTTTTAACAGCACAGTTAATTTCTCTATAACTCTGATCTCGCTCAATCTTGCAAAAATTACTTGAAAAAATTCTACATATGAAATAAATGTTCTCCCTTTGAAAAAGTAAAAAGGGACTTCTCAATGGAATTCTATCTATATTCAAAAATGAACACAATGATGTCCTTGAAATCTCTCACAATTCCTTTTTGACTTTTATGATTGTCCACTGTCTTTACAGGAAGCCCAGGAGGTAGAGTGGTTTAACCACTTGGTTGCTAATGAAAAGGTCGGTGGTCTGACTCACTGGTTGCTCTGTGAAAGAAAGAGGAGTCAGCCCGCTTCTGTAAAAATTACAGCCTCAGCCCTTAAGGGCTGTTCTACTTTGCCCTATCAAGCTGCCAGGAGCCACAATACATTTGAGGGCAGTGGTTTTTGGGGCTAGTGTCTTTACTCCCTCTAGAGGCAGAATCTGTGAATGAACTACCATCCCTCATTCTGGCAGGTTTTCCGAAGTGAATCAAAACCATGTGTAAAAAGCAAAAAGTGAATTTCTTTCTCTTGGGAAATTTAACTAGTAAATACCATCTACAGTATCCTTGACACTAAACTGAATTTCTGATGACCTATTAAGTACCTAAATGTACCATTTATATTTAATATAAGGATAATACAGTCCAGTATGTATCTTATCCCTTATGAGATTAAACTGTATATACAGACAAAAGAAACAAGACTTATGAATCAATATCTTATTTGGGAGTCTAAAAATCAGCTTTGAGTCACATGAACAGCAGATATTAGGTTAAATATGAAATTTGATATACATTTTTCATAAAATCCTATCTTTTCCTATATGGAGAACATCACCTATTTTGAGACCTCTCATCTGTGTTTGTTGTACTCTAGCGTTTGTGTATTGCTATGATGCCACCAGTATTTCAATTGCCAGTAGGCTCACTGTGGTGGATAGGCTTCAGCAAAGCATCCAGACTAAGACAGTCTAGGAAGAAAAGCCTGGCATTCTACTACTGAAAATTTGTTCATGAAAAACACCATGGGTCACAACAGAATCTCATCTAACAAGTGCTGCGAAATAGGTCTCCTAGGACAGAAGGTACAACAACAGGCTCAAACAAACCAATGGTCCTGAAGAAGATGTAGGACCAGGCAACCTTTTCTGAGGCGGCTTTGGGGGGGAAAATTCCATTATTTTTAACTTCCATTCTCCCTTGAGTTTTCTGAAGCCCCCTTGTATTCTGTTATACATGGGGTCACATAATCCAGGGTCTACTCAAGAGCAACTAACACCAACAACAGATCAACAGTATAGACAGGATGGCTCATAAATATGAGACTTCAAGAAGTACGTTGAAAAATCCCATTATCTTCTAATACCATTTTCCCGTGAACTTGATGAAGCCCCCTAGTAGATGACTGGCAGCAAGATATAATTTCACCTCTTTCTAATTCCCAATAGGAACCTAAGCTTGCTAATTTCATTTCTTCATTTTAACTTAAAGGATCTCAAGTCTAGAAGAATGCTCGACTTATTCCAGGGGTCTTAAAAATATGCACATTATTTTGTGTGTGTGTGTGTGTGTGTGGTGTGCGTGCGCGCGTGTGTGTGGGTGGTGACTGTGGTTTAGAGGTGGTGGCATGCGCTTGAAAAGACTACAAGATCTAAAACTGCTCTTGCTCCCTCCTTTCCTTGCAGAATGGGGGGCTGCTTTGTGGGGAGAGAAGCGGGTGGGACCTCACTTCTGGCAGTCACTTTCCCACTCTAATACCCTAATAGTTGGTGACACTCCAGGAAGGAGGGCAGCCTTGATATGCTACCTCTATCTAGGCCTTCCACAAAAGTCAACACTGGAGATTCTGTATTGTGAGGTAATTAGTTGTGGTATGGGGCATCTGGGTTAGCAAACACGGCGTTCATCAATCCTATTTTTAGAGACTGTTGCTGGAGTTGACCCAGGCTGGATAGTAGTTCTCAACTCAGGCTACATATTAGAACGGCCTGCAGGCACCCAGCAGAATTGGAGGCGATACTCACAGGCTCGCTGCCAGGCCTTTCTCTTGCATTGCTTTAGAGTTGTTAATCACTCGGGTGAAAATGAGACCCCTGTCTGGTCCTGCACCACCCTCACAGCAGCTCCTGTGCTTGAGCTCATTGTTCCAGTCATTGTGTCAATTCCCCTCATCCAAGGCCCCTCTACTTTACCAAAGCATGATGTCCTTCTCCAGAGACAGGTCTCTCCTGACATGTCCAAAGTATATTACAGCCGTCCTCAAACTTTTTAGACAGGGGGCCAGTTCACTGTCCCTCAGACCTGCTGGAGGGCCGGACTATAGTTTATGAAGCCTCATGATCCTTGCCTTTAAGGAGCACTTTGGCCTTATTTATTCCAAAATAGATGTTTGTCCTTTTAGCAGTCCACAATACTTTAAATATTTTTTTTTTCATTAATTTTTCCCCAGCACAATTCACATGTGTCAAATTTTCAGTCTTCCTTATCTAATATGCAACTTTCACACGCATGAGGCAATGGAAAATAGGGCTTGGGTCGGGTGGACTCAGCTCTCAATGTAACATCCTTGCTCTTCAATATTCAAGAGACCTTGTGCTATGCATTTACCCAATGCAATGCATTGTTTGACTGCTGCTTCCATGGTCATTGTGGATCCACGCCAGAATAAAACACATCCTTAACAACTTCAGTCCTCTCCATTTATCACGATGTTATCTACCGTTCCAGTTGTGAGGACTTCTGTTCTATTTACACGGAGCGGCAATCTACACTGAAGGCTGCCATCGCTAAGCCCTCAGCAAATGCTTCAAGCCCTCGCTTTCAGCAGGCAAGGTTTTGTCATCTACATATGGAAGATTGTCAATATGCCTTCCTCCAATGTCGATGCCACGTTCTTCCTTATATATGCCAGCTTCTCTGACGAACTGCTCGGCATACAGATTAAGGAAGTATAATGGGAGGGTACAACCCTGTTGCACACCTATCTTGCTATTAAACCAGGCAGCATTCCCTTGTTCTTTTCATACAACTGCCCCTTGATCCATGTACAAGTTCCACAGGAGCACAAACAAGTGTTCTGGAATTCCTGTTCTTCTACATGGTCCACATCTTGGCATGTAATGCCTTGGCATAGTCTATAAAACGCAGGCAAACATCTTTTTGGTACCCTCTGCTTTCAGATCCATCAGACCATAGCAGTCCCTATCCTTTATGTCCTCTTGTGTGTGAATCCAGCCTATTTCAGCTCCCTGTCAATGCACTGCTGCAACCATTGATGGATGATCTCCAGCAAAATTTTACTTGTATGTGATATCAGTGATAGTTTGAGCGTTCTGCTGGGTCACCTTTCTTTGGAATGAGTACAGATAGGGACCTCTTACAGTCAGTTGGCCAAGTAGCTGTCTCACAAATTTCCTGGCATAAAGGAGTGAGTGCTTCTAGTGCGTCATCAGCTCATTGAGATATTTTGATTGGTATCCTATCAATTTCTGGCACCTTGTTTTTAGCTAATGCTTGCAGTGCAGCTTGAGCTTCTTTCACCAACACTGGGTCCCGAATTGATGAAAGTCAGCCAATGATTGTCTTATTGCCATCTTCTTTCATTCAGTATTTTACCCACAGAATCTTCCAGCATTGCAACTTGAGGCTTCAATTGCTTCCCAGGTTCTTTTAGTTTAAGATATGTGGAATGTTTCTTGCTTTCGGTTTTCTAACTTTAGGTGTTTGCACATTTCATTGCAATAGTTCTTCTTGAGCTGGCCTTTGAAATTTTCTATTTAGCTCTTCGCATCATTTCTTCCATTTGCTATAGCTACGCTCAGATCAAGAGCAAATTTGAGTCTCTTCTCACATCCTCTTTGATGTTTTCTTTCTTTCCTGTCCTTTTAATGGCCTTTGCTTCCTTCACATGCAATATTCTTGATGTCAACTATAGCTCATCACGTCTTCTTTCATTAGGGTTCAATGTGTCCAATCTGTCCTTGAAATGGAGGTGGGACAAACCCAAGGTTGTAGTTTGGCTCTTGTTTAAATTTCTTCAGCTTCGATCTAAACTTACACACGCGCAACTGATGGTCTCCTCTATAGTCAGCCCCTGGTTTGGTTTTAGCTACTGACATTGAGTGTCTCCATTGTTTTTTTCCAGACATGTAGTCAATTTGATTTCTGTGTATTCCATCTGGAGAAAACCACATTTATAGTCAGTCATCTTTTCTATTGAAAAAAGGTATTTGCTATGAACAAGTACTTGGTCTTGAAAATTCTATCATCTTCAGCTTAATTTTTGTCACCGAGTCCACATTTTCCAATTACTGTTCCGTTTCCAACTTCAGTCACCAGTAATTATCAATGCACCCTGATAACATGACTGATCAGTTTCCAACTGAAGACATTGGTAGAATTCTCTAACTTTTTATCATTCGTTTTTGTTGGTGGTGCTTAACTTTGAGTAATAGCTGTGTTGACTGGATTTCTTGGAGGATATGATCCTATTATAGATTGCATTATATTTCAATTTCGATCTTGAAATATCCATTTTGACTATGAATACCGTGCTACTCCTAATCACAAGATTTTTGAATTTAAAATAGCCAATAGTAGTCCATCTCAGCTCACTAGTACCTACGATATCAATCTCTATGCACTCTATTACATTTGTGACAACTTCTAATTTTCCTAGATTCGTAATTTGTACAATCCAAGTTCCAATGATTAGATTTTGCAGCTGTTCTTTCTTACCATGAGTTAGGCTCCTTCAGCCAATAAAGACCCCGAAGGCGTCACCGCCACAGGCTTTAGTCCACTCACATCAGCACGTTTGACTCTCCGCTTGAGAAAGCAGCCGCTCCTCAGCCACACTGTAAGCACCTTCCGAGCAGCAGGGTCCACTCTCTGGAGTTATGCCCGACAATGTTCTGCATCCATTCATTAGGCCTTCGGTCTACTACTTGCTCGAAATTTACAAAAGCCAAACAGTCCTTCTCTCTGCAGGTCTTCCTTCCAAATGTAAAACTCCTGTCCCCGCAACAGTTTTGAGCGGGGCTCAGGCTTTTCTTTTAAGCCCCTCACTCTACCTTGGCACCAAACAAAATGCCTTTCCTTTTCAGGCAATTCTGAACTTCACTTTCAGCATGTCTACTCAAATATGGGCTGATGATGGACTTCCAAGCTCCTATAATCATGATTTTAAACTTATGTGTACACATGCATACATATCTATGTGTTTATATATATGCAAGCTTCAAAAATTTGGGGAAAATGGAATCGAAAGATAAACTTCTATTTAAAAGATAACTTTTAACTTTGTAAAGCCCTCTCATATATACATATGCCAGGAGCTGTGGGGATTAAGGAGATGCAATAGATCTGGATCTGACAAACACTTTCAGTGCTTTAACAGACAACAAGCCGGGACTTCTCTCCTGTGTTATCAGGTAAAGAAATGTATCTTTATGTTCTCATTGTCTGAAACAGGTCAGAAGCTCATAGAAGTTCATCAGCACTCACCTGGTCAATATCAGCATTTCTTGGCAGAAAATAGACAATATTATTAGTGATCTTCTGGGAAAGCCTGAAAATTTCAAATGTGGAGAGCAGTTAAGGTAAAGTAGCAGCAATAGCAGTGATTTTTTGATCAGACAGAAGTTCTTTACTCATTATATAACAACCTAAACGTTCCATTTTGATATATAAATAACAAAACACAAGTTTAAATTCTCGTAACAACACCTAAAGGGAACTAAAGAGAAATTTCCTAATTTAATAGCACATGCTTGGCAAATCAGAGATCAGAAGTGGAGGCTTCTCGGAGAGATGGTGGCTTCTAACACCTGATCTTGCAGTTAGCAGTCCAGTGTATCACCAGCACGACACACTACAGCTCCAAAGTGAAGCTTGTTGAATCTTTTTATCTATTATTCTAGTGGGAGGAAGCCAGGAGCAGTGATAGGCACTCTTGTCCTGCTGCCACTTCTAATTACTGCAAAGAGAGAAGGGGTAGGAGCAGACAGCAATCCCGTGTTTTCAGGAAAAATAAAGACGAACAACTCGTCACTGAAGTCTACACTCTGAGTTTTAAGTAATAAGTTAGAAGTAGATTTCTTCTTTTGTTAAAGACAAACAGATGAGTGTTTTAGGGAGCAGGGAATGAAGGAGAAAATAATGCTATTCTCTAATGAAATGTGTCTGTTTCAGCACCTTGAAAGTGTAACAACAACAAAAAGAAAGAAAACAATTTAAGACATACAAAGAAGTAGCCCAAAAGTCAATGTGTGTTGAAGAAAATTGAAGTGGTGGCTGGCCACCCAGACTGTAGGGAAAGGTCATGAGGAACTCCCCAATCGTGAAACAAGAACCTTTAATGCTTTCTATTTCTCTTGCTTTGCAATAGCAAAATTATTATATAATTTTTGCATACCTACTTTTTATGCTAAAGAAACTAGTTTATCAAATGCCATTAACAAATATTACTCGGTAATTTCTATTACACACACACACACACACACACCCACAATGGTTTTTATATATAAACACTCAGGACTTCCAAAGGATATCCATCAGGAGACATCATTGTCCTAATGTCAAAGGTCTCTGCAGTGGCGTAGTCTGGTCCACCCCAAGGAGGGCTGAGGAACACAACGTCTGCCTTTAGGTGGGAAGCCAGCAGGAGAAAATCTCCACAGATAAACTCGATCTTATCTGCTACCCCGTAAACTTCTGCATTATTTCGAGCAAGATCAATCTTCACAGGATCAATATCAATGGCGATCACTAAAAGTGGCAAAAAGTCAAGAGTCATTGATATTATCATTTCATAAAGTTAACCTTTATAAGTCTGCTTACCTTCTGTACAACAAACCTTTTGAAAGACTAAAGGACGCAACCTTAAGATATTTGGCCCCATAGACCAGTGATATACCAAAAACAAACACCCCTCCAAATGGCCCCCTCCCTCCAAGCACACACACAAAAATTTAAAAAATTTAAACCCACTGTTAGAGTCAGTTCTGACTCACAGTTAGTGCTAACCTAAATTAGAATGAATTCTTTAAGAGTGTTGCACCAAGAAAATGTGACTGGCTGTCAAAATTATTTCCCTCAATCAGCTGTACCAAAGCAAGATGATAGTTCTATTTTCTAGTCTTAATAGTTCAGTCACATTAAGAAGATTTAGGCAATCACCACCACAATCAATTTCGGAACATTCTTCTTTCTCATATTCATTGTTGTTAGCTCCCCCTACCCACTCAGCTTCCCCTGCCACGCCCCTAGGTATTTATTAATCCAGTTACTATCTCTATAGATTTACCTATCCTGATTTCATATACAGAAAACCATACAAAAAAACAAGAAACAAAAGCAACAGTCACCAAAAAACAAAACAATGAGTCAGGCCTAAGTGCAAGGCCATTATTCATTCATACACTATGGCTTATGTCTCTGGTTCACTTTAGAGACAACATGTCATGGTAGAGAACATTATAAATAATCCCCATGGGGCATAAGGCAATTCTACTGAGAGTATTACTAATTTAACTCATTGTACTGATTTTAAAACAATGTTGAGAAAAGGAAATTAGACCTGTATAGGCTGGCTTTTTCTTACCACAATACACGAATTGTTGACTTATACAGATTAATAAAAGTTTTAATGACTGGAGACAATTTACACAGGGAGGGTTGGAGATAGGGCACAACTTTCAATAACATCCAATCATAGGCAGAACCATGCCTGCCAGATAGATATATGTCCTAAAAAGTAAAAGTCAAACCAGACTCACTGCCTTTGAGTAGATCCTGACTCATAGCGACCCTATAGAGCAGGACAGCTAGAACTGCTCCTGCGGATTTCCGAGACCTTAACTCTTTACGGGAGTAGAAAGTCCTGTCTTCCTTCTGAACTATTTTGAACTGCTGACTATTACAGTCCAACTTAACCAGAACATCATCAAAATAGTAATTATGTGTTAGTCCGGGGTCACCATTCACTGGGCACCCTCAAAGGAAAATATCTGAATGCAATGACTACCAATTCCATTATCTTGGGATAGTGGTCACTTGCTTCTTCTCATTCTGAGGCATTTCAGCCTTAAATCCAAGGGAATATGTTGGTTCCTGAAATCTGTTACAAGTGAGTTTAATATAAAGCCCAGTTCACTTAGAGGAGTTTCCACATTGAATCCTTCTGGTATGGTCTATGAAGGATGTTGGCCTATGGAGGACAGTATCTAAAGTTCCAGTTGTCTATGGCACACAGCCTGGGTCACCAAGGGCTAGACAGAAACGAAGTAAAAAATATCCAATTAGGAACATAATTCTGGGCGTATTCTCCCTTGGGGTCTATATAAGTATTGTTTTTTTCCTGGTTGCAGGTTGCCCCACCCAGTTTGCCCAACAAGAGAAACGTTCTTGCTTCCTCTGAGAGAGACACCCTCTTCCCACCTGCCCTTGTGTCACATTCAGTAAGGTTTGCTAATCACTCTTGTAGGAATATCTGTTGATTTGGGGTGACCTTAGAACTATGTTGTATGGTAGCAGTTGATTGGTCTTCTCCCTTTACCGGCATCTTGAGAAAGTGACTCCAACTGAAGTGAGGCCTCCCCACAACGGATGCACATTTTTACAAGCCTATCAGCCCTGTTGAGTTGCAATCCCTCTGCAGCCTCTCCTGCATCTGTTCCGTTTTGAGTTAGGTTATCATTATCATTGCAGGTGATGTCCTTAGTTTGTTTTGCATCTCTTGAATGGCTAGTGATCATGAGTCTTGGGCATTCTAGTTGTCCTTTGTCTTTTTTCTTATTGCTATATTAATATTGACATATTACAGAATTCTATATATTTTAGTAATTAGTCCCTTGTCCAGGTATCATGGCTAAAGACGTTTTCCCAATCCGTAGGCTCATTTCACTAGTGTTTAAATAAGTTCCAGTCATATAGTTTGTCCTTCAGTGTGTGTGCTTGCTTTATTATATTTGGTAGTCTTTGTGTGCCCTGCAATAGGGTCATTGTCCCAATTTTCTCATTTATGATCCCTATAGCTCTGGGGCTTACATTTAGGTTTCCAATCCATATTAAGTTAATTTTACTGTAAAATTTTATCCATTTGAGCACACCTTTACCAGTATGTGCTAACTTCACAGTGCTAGAAAAAACTCACAGAACAATAAAATATAAAGCACTTCCCAAATGCTGAATATGTGCCCAGTGTTTAAGCTGGGCTGCTAACCACAAGATGAGCAGTTTGAATCCACCCATCACTGTGAGGGAAAAAGATGATTTACTCCTGTAGATTTAGTCTAGAAGACCCACAGAGGCAGTTCCACCCCTGTCTAAAGGATCACTATGGGTCAGAATCAACTCAATGGCAGTGAGTTTTTCAACTTTACCATGTTCTGTGTAGCCTGGTAGGAGACACTTGAAATGATCACCAATTTCACAGAAAGCTGATAATGCAAAGATTTCAAGAAATACAAATTTTATCAAAATGAGACAACCCTCAAAGACCAAAAATTTGACAAATCCAAAGAAAATACATTTACAAAGCTGTATAGTCAAATTATGAGACACGTTACACAGAAGAAATAGAAAACAGTATTTTTACTAAAGGTTTTTGTTAGATGTCCTTCTAACTCATAGCAACCCTATGCACAACAGAATGAAATTTGGTGCCTGAGCCTCACAATAGTCCTTGTGTTTGAGGCTATCGTGGCAGTCATCCAGCTTGAGATAGTTAATTGTGCCAACCTGGCTGATAAACACATGTGGGGTTAATTGAAGGGTGGAGAGATAAATGGCTCAGGGAGCCTCGCCTTTCTAGTTCTCGGGTCTCTTGCTTTCTGATGGTTGGACTAGGGTGCAGCTGCCTTAGCAGTTCCCTGCTTCAGCTTGCAAGGCGGACTTCCTGCAAGACATCCCCAAGGAGAAGCCACATGGACCTACCCGGATTCAGCCCTGGGTGCTGGAGCAGCCGTGTGGAGACCCCTGCCAGGGGTGAGATGCTTACACGCTCACTGATTCCGTTTTCCTCCTGCAAGTGGCGTCATTGTGTGCGTTTTGTGAGATGGAGGAGGACTTTGTGGATTGGTGTTGGGCAGATGGGTTAATGGGTTAATGTTGGACTTGTGGGCTTGGGCAGCACTGGGTTGGGATGTTTTCTTGATGTGCACCTACCCTTTATATAAAACTCTCTCTTATACATGAGTTTCTGTGGACTTGTTTCTCTAAAGTTCCCAGACTAACACACAGCTCCTCAACAGTTTTCCTCTTTTTCGTTGACTATCTACTTCACCAGACATGACTTCCTTTGCTAAGGGCTGGTCTCTTCTGACATAGGTCTACAGAATAGGCTTTCATTTAACTTAGTGTATTTGATAAAGACTTATGAATAATGTTGTTATTTAAAGTTTTCCAACAGTTTTGAGCAAACTACTCACATGTACCTAAATGTACATCATTGGGTGAATGGCAACAGTTTATATTTGAAGGGATTAAGTGGGAAACTGATAGAATTGGAACTATTTCCCAAGAAACACCAATTTCATAATTTACTCATGCTTTTGAGAAACAATGCTTCCAATAAACTACCTAAATAATGGTTCCAAGCACCAGTTATAATATATTGTGAAACCAAGCAACATATGAGAACAGAACTGTTCTGTTAGAAAGAAGCTCCCATTTACATTTAAAAGAGAAAAGGTTTTTCAGCTCTTTAATCTGCTGAACTTATAAAAACAACTTAAAAAAACTTATAAAAAAAACTGCTGACAACACCAAAAAAGTTCAAAGATAAAGCAGCTTTCAACAAATTAATTTAGCGGTTCTCAACCTGTGGGTCACGACCCCTATGGGAGTCGAACAGGGTCGCCCTATTCATAACAGTAGCAAAATTACCTTTACGAAGTACCAACGAAAATAATCATGGTTGGGGAGTCACCACAACATGAGGACCTGTATTAAAGGATCGTGGCATTAGGAAGGTTGAGAACCACTGTATTAGTTAATCCTCATGTTTCCTCTGTGTTTCTCTTGGAGGCAGATGTCATGGAATTTTACATGAGCAAAATGCTGACAAATGCAGGACGACACTATATAGAACGGCAGCACCCAGTAATGGCAGCCATTACCACGTGAAAATGAAAAGTGGTTAAAATTAAATGATAACGTTAAAGTTTTAGATGCTCAGACAGACACGGGCTATCACAGTGAACTCAGAAGATGTTCCATCTTTGCAGAAAGTTCCACTGGGTGATAACACAGTTATGTTCTGCATCTTGGATGCTGGTCAAAGACTATTATCTAGTAATATTCTTTTACAAAGCTCTGGTAGTGCAGTAATAAAGTGGCTGCTAACCAGTGTTGGTGGTTCAAAGTCATGGTCAATGATGTGGTGGTAGCAGTACTGAACTATGTGTGACTATCCACAATTTGTACTGTGAAGTAAGTCATTACATAATGTGGGCATTGTAAGAACATTGTATTACATAAAGCACATGTTTATATACATTTGATATCCAAAGGGGCTTCAAAATTTGTGGAAAAGTGGAAGTAATAAAAATAATTTTTGCATACACTTTAAGTCCTCTAGACTTAAGAACCCCACCTCTAGAGGAGTTATCAAAGTAACCCCTCTCCCAAGCTGTTCTGGCTCTCCATTAGTACTAGGAGTCTGGGGATCTGCAAACTTGCACCTGCAATTGGCTGTCTCGGTGTACCCTCTCTGAGTAATTGATAAGAACAGTGGCTGCAGCCCAGAGCCTCCCTGTCCACAATGAACTGGAGGGCAGCCGTGATAACTGTGACAGCCGGCAGCCAAGGTTCAGGGGTGGATGATCTTCTTTGGCTGTAGCTTAGTCAGGTCAGCTGTAGGAGCTCAGCTATGGCTGCCACAAGGGGCAAACTCAAAACTTGCTCAACCTTCTGGCACTTCTCTAGTGCAAGCCCTTCCTCCCTGCTCTGCAGCTGGACACTTACGTATACATAAAAAGATCTAACAGAAAAATGCTTAAGAATCATCATTTCCGAGTTAAAAGAAAATTTTTTTTTTATGATATATTTGGATTCACGGGACTGACTTGCCTGGCAAACACGTAGAAGAACTTTATGCGCAAACAGTGAATTCAGGGAAAATATAAAGTAATTATCATTGTGGTAATCATAAAAAACAGCTTTTATCCAAGATGCTAGAAAACTATATAAAATTAGCAAATGTCAAGGCCTACACACAGGAGCAATTGCTCCCATTTATAAGTACTGGTTTTAACTGATTCTAAACATCACTTTACTATTTTTGTTTTTATATTATGCTTTCCTAGTCAATATAATGAAATGTACAAGAATTACCGAGTCAGTGAAAAGCTGCTGAAATGTAAAACATCACTGCTTTGAAGATAACGGAAAAAAACCATCCCTAAGTATCTACAGACGATGAAGATATGAACAACAAACCTCTCTACAACCTCACCTCATACTACCTTTTAAACAGAAGCAGGGTTATCACAATCAGAAAAATTGAGTAAAAGCCCTGGCTTTACTACTTAGCTATGCCATTTTGGACAAATTGTTCAATTTCTTCTTATTGCTATACATCTCCCTGTGTCCCTAGATTACAGTGATATGCAACGGGATTGCAAAAGAGATAACTGTAAGGTTGATGTAATATTTAAAGTCATCTATTAGACATACAGGATATTAAAGTGGGTAGGTACCACAAAGGCCACTGCAGGTAGGTAAACGCTCCTCAGATTCGTAAAGGAAACGAGTGGTCAAGTTGGCATTCCCTGACCATCGTTCTTCCTTCCTTATTTTAGTATCTTGCTTTTATAGAATGTTATAATCTTGCTCCATCATTCAAAGCCCAACCGACTGCCATTGAGTTCTTTAGACTCATAGCTACAAGGACAGAGTAACATTGCCCGTCTGGGTTTCCAAGTTTGTGTCACTTGACAGAAAGCCTCACGTTTCTCCTGTGGGGTGACTGTTAAGTTTGAACTGTCGACCTGTGGTTAGCCACCCAACACGGAGGCCATGATACCAGCACGGCCCTTCTACCTGTGCAACAGCTGTATTTAAATCATCTTGGGCAACTGCCTTTATCTTCTAAGGGGACAGTAAAAAACATGCTTCCCCAAGTCTCTGAGGATAAATAAGGGAATGCATGCTAACGACAGTGTCTCCATGGAGTGCGTTCTGCCTCATAGGGTTTTGATGGGTTTCAAGGTAAGTAAAAAAGTGTTATAAAAATGCACAGATGTCTTAATTAAGTAAAAATAAAGACTATAACTTGTTGTTAGGTCTGTACACTCTTCCAGGTGGTGGATCCAGCTCTCTATTAACCCTTTCCTGAAGAATCCTGTGCTTTCTAATTTATATCAAAACGGTAGTTTTGGCATCAAGGAACAAAAATTGTGTTCCTCTGAAATGCTGAGTTTGGGAACGAAATCAAGTCTGAAGTTGCAAGATCCGGGGCTGTTGGGTAGATGTGGCAAGGTTTCTTAATGAATTCACACAGGGTTTGACTCGTGAGAATGAGCAGCCATACTGTGATGAAAAGATACACCGAAACATAACTCTTCTGGCCTTTTTTTTTCTCCACCAAGGAGGTTTTAATTATCTTAAAACTTCTTCCTAGTAAGTGTGATTGTCCTGTGTCTTTCGAGAAAATCTATCAAAATTGCCCCTTGGGAATTCCCCAAACAGTATCCACAATGTTCTGAGCTGACCTTTTAACCTTGAGTTTAACTGGCAGAAGCAGATTCCCTTAGAGGTCACTGTTGATGGCTGTTTCTTCTTAAACATGTTAGCTATTATTTTAAGTATTTGGGGCTAATATAATAATAATAATAACAATAATAATAATAATAATCAGTACTAATTATATAGTAAATCTCAGAAAAGGCAGGCTAAAACAAAATGAAATGGTTACTGCATAAACATAAACCAGTTCACTTCCATCAATGGGTAATTACCTGTGTTTCCTGTCAAGGCAAACTGAATGGTATTTCCTCCAACTCCACAGAAGGCATCCACTACAATGCTGCACGTGAAGGACTCACTGACTCGGCTGGCAATGTGCTCGGCTATCTTCTCAGGAGTCACAGAAAACCAACCCTCTGGAGGAAAGAGCACCACTGTTCAGACACTTAATTTTAAGAAGTTGGCCAGGCACGATGAGTGAGATGTATGTAACACATGATTCACTCTGGGCTCCCTCAGGCCTCTTCAAGTTGGACTTTTGTTGTTACTATCTAGCAAAGTTATGATCATCTAGTAGATTTTTTTCACACTTTGCTGTTTAAGGAATGGAACGTTTATAAAGCTTAGAGTCACCAGACAAGGGAGGTATCACCCTATTATATACTTTTAAAAAAGTTTTGTTTTTCAAATATATATACCGCATAGTTTTAAATAATAGTTTTATAAAGCTTATTATGAAAAACAGCAGAGTAACACTCCAATTCCTGATTTCTGCAGAAGCAACTACCTTAAAACATGACTTGTTTGGGGGTAGCATATCTCCACCACTCTAAAAACAATATAATTCTGATTTTTCTGTTTTAGGCATTAACCACTATCTATTATATAACATGAAAAGTTAGCTCAACTATCAGCTAACTCTCCAAACCCCATTGAACTTCAAAGTTTCTTTTTGACCTCCGGGAGAAGTAATGAATATGTGTACATTTTTCTACAGTTGTAAAAAATTCTCACATTACCAAAGGGCTAGAAAAAGCAAGCAAAAAAATGCTTCAAAGTTGCAGAAGTAAACAATGAAAGGGGATACTGCAGTTTCTTTCCCAGAATTTACATTTTTGAGAAAGCTATTTCCCTAAGCAAAATGATGAGCAAATTTCCTGGTTTGCATTCCACCCCCTAAACTTTAAATCATTCCTCACTGCTAGAAGAGTAAAAATAAAAACTTCAAGAATGAAATTCAAAGCATTTTCCAGTTTTATCTCTCTTAACAAACTCCTATATACTCTCCTCAATACACAACATTTTGTTAAGTTGTATGAGGTCCTTGCAATTCCTGACATTCTACCATGTATGAAGACCTCCTGGTTTTGACAGCTAATCAATATTAATTTCTAGGTAGCTCATATCTGAAAAAGTACACTATCTCCACGACCAGTTAACAAGTGGTTTAAGTCACAGCAGGATATCTCAAGTAAAATTTCAAAGTTTCCATTATTAATTCAGTAAATCACTGCTTTTTTTTTTTTGGAATTCACATCTTTATGTACTATTTCTTCACTGGATGTTTCGTTTACTAGACCTATCAATTGTTTAGTTTTGCTACATGATGCTACAAATATACATTAAGCCTGAATTGGTATTTGAAAATACACATACATATAGACCTATGTTGAAGGGCAGTCTATAGAATAACTAAGTGTCTGTGCTCTTTAAAATGCCAACATTATGAAAGACCAAAAAGGCCAATGGAAGGAAACCAAAGAAACATGAACATTAAATGTAATACATGAACACCTACTGGGAAAAAGAAGTGATACATGGCTATGATTAGGACAACTGATGAACCTGGAACTTAGATTGTACTGTCACAAGGTCAAAATTCCCTAATTTTGGTAATTTTACTATTGCCACGTAAGAAAATATCCTTGCTATAAGGACAAGAAATACGTATAACTGTATTAACAGGTAAGACATGATAATGTAACCAATCAACATTCATATGGATCAGAAACACACAAGGAGAAACAGATTTTGTAGCATTTTTCCAACTTTTCTGTAACTTTGAGATGGTTCAAAAATAAAGTCAAAAATATTTATAAGCATTACCTGTGTCCAATTTAATCCCATCATCAAAACGGGAGAAGAGTCTATACCGCTGGGCCCAGTATTTTGCCAGCTTAGGAACAGCAGCTATTTCGGGAGGTAAACAATTCACCTTTCTGTTCTTGTTTTTCTTCTTCTTAATTTCAGCTGAAAACAAAACCAAAAAAATACAGAACACAAGTGAATTTATTTAAAAATGTGGCCACACAGAAGCATTCCAACTTTGGACTACATCCAGTTTATGCATGCAAACTTAGGTTCTGAGAAGCAGAAGAGTATTTATAGTAGAAACTGCACTGCCCTTAAAGTCTCCTTGCTCTTGCTCCTTAGCAGCTTTTCAAACTCAGACATAAGCAGGCTAAGTTCCAATTTCTAATTCCTTAAAAGAATGAATGAGGGAAGTGGCAGTCGTATCTGCTCTCACTTAGCCCTGACCATGCAGCAGTTACCAGTGGAGTTGCGAACCACAAGGCGTCAGTGTGAACGTGGCAGCGGCTCTGAGGGAGAAAGACCAGATCGTCTGCTCTGGTAAAGATTCCCCGTTAGGTGCCATCCCGTCTGCTCCAACTTACAGTCACCTCGACATACAAGAAAACGAAAAACGGCCTGGTCCTGCACCGCCGTGACACTTAGTCTTTTATCCGAGCAGTTCATTTTGCAGCCAGTGTCTATCCACCTCATCGAGGGCCTGCCTGTTTGCACTGCCACTCGACTTTACAAAGCATGAGGTCCTTCTGCAGCAACTGGTTTCCCTCGACCATATGTCCAAAGTTTGTGAGACAAAGTCTCAAAATCTTTGCCTTTAAGGACCATTCCAGCTGTGTTTCTTCCAAGTCAGATTTGTCTGTTCTTTTGGCAATCTATGGCATTTTCAATATCATTCTCCAGCACAATCCAAATGCGTCAATTCTTTGACCTTCCTCATTCAATGTCCAACTTGAGTGTTCGAAGAAACACCTTTGCTTTTCAATATTTTAAGAGGTCTTGTGCAGCACATTTTTCCAATTACATAATGCAAGTCTACCATGCCCAAAAGACTTGAAAGGAGGAAATTAAAACAGATACTGGTCACCACCGTTTTTCACAAGGCTAAAAGTGTCCACTAGGCAGGTTAAGTGAATAAACAAGGTGTGATATATTCATTCAATGGAATATTATGCAGCCAGAGAAATGAAACATGCTGATACATGTATAACAAAATGGAGAAAACATAACATTAACTGAGATAAGTGAGACAGAAAAGGAAAAATATCTTTCAACTCCATTTATATAAAAGATGTAGTACAGAAAGATGTGTAGACAGTCACTTGGTAGTTACCAAAGGCCGAGGAGTTATGGAAAAAAAGAGTTATTCCATGTGATGATTAAGGTCATTATTTATAGTGGTTTGGCAAACCATCGTGTGAATTAATGTCATTGTTAATGGTCAAAATAGGAAAATGTGTTCTGTGTATATTCCACCACAGACGAAAACATTCAACCAGTATAAAGGGTGTACTACTGTAAATACTATTGGTCAATGTAACATGGAAAAAACCCACGATCCCAAAACAAAAAATAAAAAGAATGAGCAAAACGAAAAGCAGGCACAGCAGAGGCAATCTGAGTGGCATACCGAGTGCCCCTCAAATGTCGTTTCTCACAGGCTTCGCCGCCTACAGCACCGTACCGAGCTCAGCCGCGAGGGAAGAACGCTCGGTGTTTTCAAACACTGCCACTCGTGTATACACGTCATGCTTTCTTACAACTCAAACAATAGACAGCAGTGAACTCTTGGTACCGATGATTTAAAAGGGGGAATTGGGGAAAAACTTACTAAAGGAACAACATATTTATCTAAATCAATTAGCAAGTCAAGGCCTATTCAGCCTTACCTTCATTTTCTACCAGAACAGAATCTGGCCTCTGCTGTGTGACACAATCTTGCTTTTCCGCCACGGTCCATACTGGGTTGTCTCCTTCGTTTTCTTGAGCTTCACCTCTGCCAGCTGAAGACAAGCTGGGGCATGTGTCAGGTTCTAGATTACTAGTCTCCAGGGAATCCCCGTTTTTTGTCACAGGTACCTGTTCCTCTGAATCACTGCTTGTGCAACAGTCTTGGATGTTGTCCTGAGAAAATGACTTCTGTGATGCGTCCGCCTCCATTTCATCCTTTGGCTCATTAACCCATTTTAGGAATTTTTCTACCTGATTTTAAGATGTCATGAGCATAAGTTAATTCCACAGTATACACAATTGTTCCGCTGGTTTTATTTTTCACTTGTTATTTTAAAATATACAGAGAACAGGCACCATGTCAGCAATTTCTACATACGTACTTCAATGATGCTGATTTCCCACAAGTTCTTTCATCTATAATTTGAATGCCAGGCTGTACCATAAATAGTATCTCTGATCTCTATAAGCTTATTCTGAGCCAAAAGCATTTTGTTATCCTGACATATCTTGAATTTATTGAAGATTTTTTAAAAGAAAGATTTCTTTCTCAAAACCATGGTCAATTTTGACTCAAAATGACCTGCTAGGACAGAGTAGAACTGCTTCTGTTAGTTTCAGAGACTGTAAATGTTTACTGGAGTAGAGAACCCCATCTTTTCTCCACTGACTTGCTGGTGGTTTAGAACTACCGACCTTGTGGTTAGTAGTTTAACCCACAATACCACCAGGGATTTCCAAAGATTTCTTTAGAAGAACAAAATTAACACAGATTTAAAATATTAGTACTTTCCTATAATGGATTAACACTAATTAAAGGTGTTAATTAAATTAAATGTGCCTAAGTAGCTTTGCATAAAGGTCCCCAACAATTTACCTCAGTATAATCTACTATTATAAATGTACCTACTTATTATTGAATCATAATTTTTTCAAATCACACGCAGCTCTCACCAACAGTTCAGGCTACAAGCTATTAACTGTTAAATGTTACTCTCATCAAAGACAAATGCTGACAAGATTTAGTGTCAATTTGTCTAAAAATAGACAATAGAGACAAAAAAAATAGAATATACAGCTTTTTTGGAAAGACTGGGGCTAACTTATTTTTTAAAAAAATAAATCATTTTATTGGGACTCTTATAACAACCCATATATCAATTGTATCAAGCATGTTTGTACATATACAGCCATAATCATTTCCAAAACATTTTCTTTCTACTTGAGTCCTTGGTATCAGCTTTTTTCCCTCCCTCCCCTCCCCTCCTATCTCCTTGATAAATTATTCTTATTTTCATATCTTACATGGTTTGTTGTCTCCCTTCACCCATGTGCCTGTTGTTTGCACCTTGCCCACCCCCGCCCTCGGGGGAAGGGGTTATAAATCAATCTTTGTGATTGGTTCTCCCTTTCTCCCCCTTTGTCTCCCACCTTCTCCCTACTCTCATGGTATTGCTACTCTCATTGCCGTTCCTGGGGGTTTTATCTGTCTTGGACTCCATGTGTCGAGAGCGCTTATCTGTACCAGTGTATGTGCTCCAGTCTATCGGGGTTGTAAGATAGAAGTAGAGTCATGATAGTGGGAGGGAGGAAGCATTAAAGAACTAGAGGAATGTTGTGTGCTTCCTCAGTGCTATACAGCACCCTGGCTGGCTCGTCCTTTCCTTGTGACCATTCTGTGAAGGGATGTCCAATTATCTACAGATGGGCTTTGGGTCTCCATTCCGACCCCACTGGTTCATATTAGTATGACTATTTTGGGTTTTCTGATGCCTGGTATCTGTCCTGTTCACACCTTGTTATCACACAGGATTACGTGCTTCTTCCATGTGGGCTCTGTTGTTTCCCTGCTAGATGGCCGCTTGTTTACCTTCACGCCTTTTAAGATCCCAGATGCTGTATCTTTTAATAGCTGGGTACCTTCAGCTTTCTGCACATTTGCTTATGTGCCCATTTTTACTTCGGCACCAGGGTCGGGAAGGTAAGTATCACAGAATGCCAGGTTACTAGAACAAAGTGTTCTTGCGTTGAGAGAAGGCTTGAGTAGAGGCCCAATGTACATCTTAATTCTTAACCTATAGAAATATATGTACATTGACCTATATCCCTATCACTATATATTAATATATTTACATATGTACATGCCTATGTTTAT